ACACAGAGTAGTGGGAAACTTCCAAAGTAATGCTGAAGAGTACTTTAGGCTCAACCCATAGAAGCGCTATTTAGTAGTAAGAACTGCGAAATTTAAGATGACTTCCATTGCAGCATTACAAGCAACATGCAACAATCGGAAAATGATCTTCTTGCCCTGGCTAATAACCTCTTTGGTATATATTTTTTATACGCGTATACCTGAAACCATTCCAAGATTTTCTCCTATGCTTCTTTCAGACCTGAAATTGGTCTTCAGGATGGACTTGATCGTAAATCCGAGTAGAACACGAGGATTTTTGTACCTGCACGAATGTTTTTTGTTAAAAAAAATATTAGTTTGCATTGTGTTTTTTCGATTTTTTTGAACAGGAAAAAAATAGAGCCCGAAAGGTAATGGACAAGACTATTTCATGAGTAACAGATTATCTGGTGTCCTGGTAGACCATAATTACTTGTTATCAAAGGTATTGTAATTTTTAGAAACCATTTGTAATTAAAAATTGCGCGTTTGTGATTGGTAGAAACTAAGACGAGTGAAATAGTCATCAATAATCCATAGGTTACAAATGCTAAGTATTACAAAAATAGTGGAAGGGGGTAGTACCTCAATTATTATTGGCATGCCTTACTACTGCCTATAGAAGCATGAAGCACTGATGAAGATGTACAAATACAGCAAGCCTTTTTCGGTTTTACAAAACTGGTAGGAAGCTATTTGTTCACTCCAGAGCTTCTCAGAACTGTCTGAAATAATCTAAGGACACAGTTTAATCATTACTAACAACCATAAAGAGGTGTGTGTACGAATATTAACTAAAATTAAGCACGTTGATGGTTAGACTTAAAGCATCTACCCTGCGTTATGTAAGCATTTTCGAACACGTAAGCACAATAAGGGAAATATTTCCTATGCCCTATGCCTATTGAGTACTACAAATGGTGTCTCATAACACCAGTCTTTTCGGTATTATGAAATTATTATAAAACACTCTGGCAGAAGATTGACAACATCCTCTGTGCTTATTGAAGACTTTTTGTATCAGACATTTGTCTCATTCCAGTGCTCTCAAGGTCAGGTTGAAATTATTAGACAGTCCATTTTAACTCTGGCTAAACCCAACCAAAGACATCACTATTACAAATAGATGAAAATGTTCACATGTGAGATATCTGAAAATATCTAACTAGTGGTTAACGTAGATCAATATATTTCAAGCACTCTTCATTGCCATTGTGAACCTCTCGAGTACAGTATTAGCAAAATCTTCTCCGGTCTGTGCCTATTGAAGACTACAAATAGTCTGTCACAACATCAGCCTTTTCATTCTTTCCGAAATTGATAGGAAGCCATTTGTCTCACTACGAAGCTCTTCAGGACTGCTTGAAATCCTTGAAGTGTCCATTTTAATTCTCACTAAAAGCCACTAAACGCATCTCCGGTAACAATACGAGGTCATCGGTTACAAATCGACGGCCGTAGAGGGAATAAAGGATAATAAATTGGAGATAGCTGAGATCTTTGTAACCGACCGGGATAACATATTGCGGTGCATCTCTTTAAGGGTTTTCATGCGGTTCTTGGGGTTGTTTTGACTTTTGCCGTGATGGATGGCCGCCATTTTTCACGTTATCGATCCGACAACGGCGACGGTGCGGCGTGTAGTTATCCACCTCCCGGCACAGGTTGCACGTTTGATGGATAGCCGTGGTTGTATTGGAAGTTTCGTATTTTCTTTTGAAAGGGTCGTTACCTCCAAAAATCCATATTATTTAGCGAACATACAAATTGGCTTTTGGCGTCGTTTTTTTTATCCCGTAGCCAACGACCATTTGTGCTATTAATGTCTTCAATAACATGAAATAATGTGCAGACAATATACTAAATAGCAACGTTTCTGGGATCTCAGTCAGTCAAACAATCACAGGATAAAATGTTATATACTATTAATAAAAAATGAGCATCAAGTAGACTAACACAGTGCTTCTTTACTCAGAAACGAAGTATTAGAGTAAATTTTGGAAGACTTATTACGTCACCGTTGGGGTTATGTGTTGTTTAAAAATTTGCGATTTTCATGTCTTACAATATTTCCAGAAAGAACTCCGTAATGGATAAGCACCTTTTCTATTTAATCAGTAGGTCGAAACTAAAATTCCACGACCTGGTGATATCTCAGATTGGGATAATTTTCTTTCCCAGAGAGCATTTGTGGAGGCATGAAAATAACCTCCAAATTCCGATATGATAATTAGTTCAGCACATATTTCAGTCAAAAGTGTTTTTTTTTTCCGGTTTTTTGGGCTGAAAATGCCTTCCGAAATGGAATCTTGTACTCGGGTCTTGAAATTGACCGGATAGTCCTTTGAATCAAATTTTCGTTATTTTGTTTTCAAATTTGTAGGTCAAACCGTTCGCTCTGGAGATGCGTTCAAAGCTTCAAGCTTCGGAAAAAAACGAGTTTTAGCCTTTTTGGCAACGCTTCCATTTTCTTGCTGCTGACGTGATTGAAAGGTATTATGCCTTGCAGTATGTGACTATTGCGAAGTAAATTTGTCCGAAGAATTAAAAAAATACCTTCAAATCATATGACAACTCGTTTGGCTCAAAAACATCATAACTCATACAGAGCAATAGGCTGTTTCTTTTTCCTTTATGAAAAACATTCATTTTGCGGATTTTCATGTTTCGGAAAGCATTCGAACTGTCAGCCCAAGAAAATTTCGAAAAAATTTGTTTTGACCGATATGTCTGCCGAACGAAATACCAAGGCCATTTTTGACATATTTACTTCGGAATAGCCACATATCGTTGGGCCTAATACTTTCCAATAATGGGAATAGCGAAAAAATTGAAACATTGTCAAAAAGGCTAAAATTCATACTTTTTCTGAACCTTGAAATATTGAATGCGTCTCCAGAGCAAAGCGTGGGACCTAGGAATTTGAGATTTTACAAAGGGTCATGCCAGGCCTGGTCGTGGAATTTTAGTCTTAGACCCAATATTTTCATTAAAACCATTGATTTGATTAGCCAATGATAGGTATAGTGTTTTCTGGTGCCCAAAGGGGGATCTGAAAGAGCGTAATATGAAAAAGTTGCAGAACATATAACTATGTTTAATTGAATACAGTTATGAATTACCGTGTTTTTTTCGTAATTTTGCATTATTTCCAAAACTGTTCACATAAGACACAGAAAAATATGGAAATGGTGTTATTAGATACTTTGATTCGGGAGGTGTTACTTTATGATTTTTCCTAAACCGTTTTATAATAGATATTAACATATTTTCTTATATACTTTGCAGTTCAGTTACTATACAAGTATGTACATAGTCCACATGGACCTACGACTATAATAAGTATAGATACTTCATTGTTTTGATTACCTTCTACTTCATAGCTGTATAAATTCTTGGAATTCCTATAATCACATGTACTATATGTTTAATACTATTGTTAATCTCAATTTTTATGAATACTACGTTATCACTCTATTATATTGTCTTATTATTTGAAAGAATTCATTACTATCCTCTGTCCTACTTTATTCTACCGGATTCGACTGGTATAAGTACAAATAGGTAATTCTCTTTGAAGTTAAAGTCAACATACTTTTTAATGCCAAACGCAGTCTATAATGATAACGACACACTAATTTGTTTCATCACACTTATATGTATTTCTTTGACTTCGCATCCTAATCCGAATAAATTGCCAAACAAGCACATATTTGCTGGAACTTTGTAAATCACAGTGATGCTTATGTAAGTAAGGCGCATCTGCATTTCAAAAGTAACGGGAGGCCATAAGAGCCAGGTTATCCGATCTGCTGTAGCAACGGCTAATAGGATATGTAAGTGGAACATGAGATAATACGCGAAGCCTTGAGAGAGAATTATTTTGTTTTGCACTACAATCTAGCATGCGCAGGGTTCACAATTTTTGTAAGTAATTGTTAATTGTTCAAGGAAGTAGTTATCAAGAAACATTAATTACAAAGGAACTTTGTACAGTTGTGATGATGTACTTTGAAGCAACTACTTTAGTTTGGAATTATCTCAGCAAAACCAGCGATCTTCTGAAGATATTTACTAAAATATAATAACGAAATTTTTGGAAAGACAGTAGTCAACAGATAGGTAACTAAGTGATGTCTGCCGTGCATTTGTATTGTTCCTTGTTTGGTTTGATTTTCTGTGTAGAGTTGCTTACGAGGTTTTTCTCCCATCATTGCATTTTTCACATTTTATCTATCTAGTTAATCCTATCCATCCATTCTGTAGTGCCTAGTTTATTTCGTGAATCATGCGTATCCAAATGATATATTTCGTATAAGCTCTTCGATGATTATATTCATTTTACTATATTTCTTATATTTCTAGAATATTCCAGTTCTAAGTTGCCTACTTCGAATACTGTACAAAATGGAGAATACATTTGATAGAAAGGAATCTTTTGGAATCTAAGTGTGGAAGAGAACTATAGAGTAATTTGGATAAATAAAGTAGTTGAACTGTTTAGATTTGGCGTACGCTACCCTGTTAACAGTTTATGTGAGGAGTTTCACTAATCCTAACTCCTTGATATTGTAGAAGGAAAGACAACCATATTCATCTAAAGATGACTCTCGTTACTTTCTTCGATGAAACTAACCATTTTTACAAGTACAAATGATTTGGGATTCAGCAAATATTGAAGCATAGAATTAGGTATAGTTTTACAAACAGTGTATAAGATATTTTTCGATAGGAATCAACAAAGAAGTAAGCAATACACATCTTTTTGCAGAGTTTATAATCTATGGCTTTTTATCAAGAAAACATATTCGGGGGCTTCTACGCATTATTAGACATCAGAAAATGCCTTTGAAGCAGCTTTTTGCATAATTGGGCTATACAAGTTTTCCTCTTTACTCGGTAACCTCTACCGTTTTGCACCAAAATCGGTCTCTGTAGTCTACATGGATAGATAATGGGTTTAAGTTAGAGGTACTTACAGGCTCCTGCAACATGCACCTTCTTCATCCAGGGGTAAATGGGTCTTTCCCCATTCTCGTCCTCATCTTCTTCCTCGTCGTTATTCGTCGAGCTTCCATGGTCGTCCAGCTCGTCCTGTTCATCCGACGCTCCATCCTCCAGTCGGATCCCCAACTCCTGCAGGGAATGTCCTGGAGGAGACCCCCGGGACTCTTGTCCCTGTCCCACGGAAGCGGGGCTGCACACACTAGAGTTCACGTCACTCGGTTGAGACACATTTGGCGCAATGTCCGCCAAGTTCTGCAGAATGTTCGCGGAGGTAGTCACTGGGGGCTGTTGGCAGTTCACTAGGGGCTGCTGAGACTCGTGCAGGGACGGCCTGATCTGATGCGTGTGCAGAGCGGGCGTATGATGCAGTTGGTGATGGTAATAGTTACCGTAGCCTCCGTACGTGGGCGAGTTCCCCAAAGGCATTCCCGTGGATCCGTACGCCGTGGCTTGAGCATGGTGGTTGTGGTATCCGCCATATTGTAGATGATGCTGGGCAGTTGGCTGATTCAGGTGATGATTCCCGAAAAAATTTTCCGCGGTTGCTGCCGGCGAGGGTATGTAACTGCTCTGACTGTACTCCTCACTTGGCGGGAACTTCGGATCGACCACCATGTGATGCTGCGGCTGATGATGGTGCTGATAACTCGAAGGCAACGCGCTAGGATTCATCAGGAACGAACTCATGATCATTAATTTTCCCCGGTCGGCTCTTCTATGAGGGGACTCGGGACGCACTACGTTGTTGCATTCAACTCGCTTTTTTCTGTTCCCCTACCACAGCGCGCTCCCTAGCTGTCTCGCTCCGGCGGCGCTACGTGCACGCCCCTCAAGCTCGATCACCACGCCACGTGACGCGCCGTCGACCAATACCGCTGCGTGACGTCACTCACCATGATGGATGACGGCCGGACATGCGGAGTGGGGGTAGCATACACGCGGTCTTTAGGCGACCCTATGCAACTCTCACATGCTTGACAACTTCAAGAAACCTTCTTCAGGTGAATTCTACAATTGTACCTTACTTCAACGGTGATTCTGCCTGGGTCTTGAAAGAAATCCCTCTCACGACACAACTTCACGCCACTTTTTAAAGGCTCTACTTACACCATACTTCTTAAAACTCCGTACCAACTTCTCAAATATCATCCAACTTTGGTCGCTGGTTAAGTAGAGGCAAGTAGGTAGACAAGTGTCCCCTCTCGAAGTCGCGTAGTAACTGAACGGAGCTGGGTTAGTGGATTGGATTCCAGCCTTCGGCTTACTCCTCCCCTTTTCGGCCCGACTGCCACTTATCGTCCGCTTTTCTACCTTCCTTTCGCTTGGTTGAAGTGAGATGGGTGTATATTGTCGGGTGGAAGGAATGACAAGGATATGGCGAATGTGTGCCTTCTCCTAGACTCACTCGAATTTTCAGGGGAGACGGAAAAAGTTGCCGGGTGGATTTTTATCTGGAGGAGTAGATTAATTTGAGCTAAAAGTGTTTTGAAGTTGGGAGGGGTTTTTGTTTTTAAGATGAAAAATCTGGAAACGAGAGAAGTGTATTTGTAGTGTGTAGAGGAAAGTTTGCTAAGCTTGGTTAAGCTCAAAGCTTCTTAAAGAAGTTCCAGATTTTCTTTTGTATGTTCTCTTTAGTTTGATATATGAAAGGTAGTTCTGGTTGTTCTTGTACTTAGTGAATCGTCTCATAATATCAGCGGTGGTATTGCACAAGGAGCGGTTCAAGCTCCAACTTTGTTTCCGTTTCATAAGGACCAACTCTCCAGCACGGTAAACCCAGTCCATAGTTTCGCAAATGCATTAAAAATTGTAGTTTTGCATATAGAAACATAGTAGGCCGCGCGGATCTAACGCCAGTAGTTTCTGGGGTGTCAAGAATATAACAAAATCTACAGAGAGCTTTTCTGGACCGTGTCTAATTCTGACCTGTTTGTACAGTGTTACTTATTATTACGCCAAGGAGGAAAATTTTTTCTAGTCTTAGAAAATTGATTCAGTGGCGGCGGATCTAGGGGCAACGAATATATAGAAATCGCTCACATTTCGTTTCAAGACGTTTTAGAGACCCCCGCTTATTTCTGTAATTTTTTTGAGGGTTAAAAATTGGAGGTGTGAGATTTTGGGGGTGTGATGCTTATACGTTTCTAACACTGGTAATTATTCCCTCGTGTTAGATATGCCTCACTCATAGATTTCCCCGTATATTTGCTTTTATTTTTAATGTCCGCAACAAATTATATGCTTGAAATGTTAGATTCTACAGGTATAGAGCAAATAGTAGAAGAAGCTACTCATATTACTAATACATCGGCTACATTAATAGATGTTATTCTTTGCAACGATCCTTTAATGATCGAATCTAAGCACGTTGGCGGATTAGATTTAACAGATCATGAACTGATTTCGTGTAAGGTACTACAAGATAGACAAAAAATTGAACCACTCTTTTACACTTATCGGAGCTTTAGGAGTCTTGAAATGGTTAAATTGCATGCTGATTTGCAAAATCTTCCCTTAATTGACATATGTTACTTGTCAAATATTGACGAAAAGGTGAACCTGTTCAATCATTTAATTCTAACTTTGTTTGACAAGCACATTCCTTTGAAAACGTCCAAAATCACTAAGCCTAAAGCTCCCTGGCTGAAGGATGATATAAGGAATTTGATGTGTAGTAGGGATGCAGCGAGGTCTAAGTATAGAAAAAATCCGAACGATTCAAATTGGAATGCATATAAAAAACTAAAAAACAAAACCAATCATGCTATTCTACATGAAAAAAGAAAGTATTTTGATAAAATTGCTCAGAGTAAGGATAAGAAATCTTTGTGGCGAGAACTTAATTCGCTTAGTATTAAGTCACAGAAGTCAAATATTCCTATTGATTTGCAAGATGTGGAACATATAAATAACTTTTTTATTGACAGCATACCTCGTGTGGCGTCTGGTAATCATATTGCTATATATTATGATCAAAACAAAATATGTAATTCAGAGTTCAATTTCAAATTGGTATCTGAGCAAGATGTATTTGACGCATTAAGTAGGATAAAAAACACCAGACCAGGAAATGATGGCATTAGCATACATCTCGTCAAATTGTGTGTCCCGTATATTTTACCATATTTGGTACATCTTATTAATACAATTTTTTTGGAGGGAAAATATCCAAAGTGCTGGAAAGTGGCCTTAATAGTGCCAATTCCAAAATGTAAGGAAGCTGAACAGCTATCAGATCTTCGTCCAATAAATATTCTAGCTGGTCTCTCGAAATTGGTTGAAAACATTATTGAAATACAATTAAGAACACATATTGAAAGTCAAAGTATCCTTCCTAAAACACAGTCAGGTTTTCGTCCAGGATACTGTTGAACCACTGCACTTGCTAAAATAACTGATGATATCATTCAGTCGAATGATCTGGGTGAGTCTACCGCTTTAATACTATTAGATTTCAGCAAGGCATTTGACACAATTAACCATGATGTTTTGCTGTCCATCTTAAAGTCATGTGGATTGTCTACTGACAGCGTAAAACTTTTTAATTCATACTTAAGTGGCAGATCACAGTGTGTACAACTGAGGAATGAAATATCTAGTTCAAAGCCCACTACCACAGGTGTACCGCAAGGATCTATACTTGGACCATTGCTCTTCACTATATATACCAGTCAGATCCTTAAATGTTTGGAATTCTGTAAGTCACACATTTATGCGGATGATACCCAGCTGTACTATTCTTTTCCTAGTTCAGATTGGCCAGCTGCCGAGTTGAAAATAAACAGTGACTTGACTAACCTCTCTAAAAGATTACAAGAGCATTCATTAATATTAAATCCAAATAAATCAGCTGCTGTGATCTTTGGTAAAGACCGTTCTTATGTGATTGAGAATTTAAATATAACCATAAATAATATTAGATTAAAATACTGTGATAAAGTTAAAAACTTAGGCTTAACAATGGATTATAATCTGAGGTTTCGTGAGTACATATCAAACTGTATCAAAAAATCTTATCTGGCTCTAAAATTATTATATCCTCACCGAAATTTTCTCAATTTAGACATCAAAAGAATTCTTTGCGAAACCTTGGTTTTATCACAGTTTTCGTACTGTGTTCCAATTTATTCTGCATGTTTAGATTGTGATACATTCATGCGAATACAGAGAACACAGAACTCATGCATACGTTTTATATATGGCATAAGAAAATTTGAAAGAGTTAGTCATAAGCTGAAAGAACTCCGGTGGCTAAATATGAAGGCTCGTTTTGAGATATTCGCAATATGCTTTTATCATAAAATTTTAACTCTCAGGCAGCCGCATTACCTCGACGAGAAAATAACATTCAGAAAAGACATCCATTCCGTAAATATTCGTTCAAAACAAAACATTACCGCTCCATTCCACAGAACTAAATTTTATGAAAGATCATTTACGTATAATATATATAAGCTATACAATCCTATCCCCCATTACCTCAAATCATATGAAATTCACAAGTTCAAAGCGGTTTTGCGTGATTCTTACCTTGAATGTATAAAGTAGAATTATTCTTACTGCGGAATTTCAATTATATTTTGTTTGCATTCCATTATTTTATTTATATTTTTTTTTTCATATGAAGCATAAATGTACCTATATGTATTTGTATATCATTCTAGACTTTTACATTTACCACCACGTTTTCTCTTTGCTCTGTTTTTCAAACTTAATTGTCGCTCATATTGGCGTTTGTTTATGCGGTATGTATGGGTATATATGTGTGTATATATGTATGTATATGTATGTATATATATATGTATGTATATATATTATTCTAGACTTTCTTTTTTTTTAAATCTATTACCACATGTCTCACTTTTCTATCTTATTTTTTTTAAAAACTTACATGCTGTTCATATTGATGTTTTTATATGGTTGATGGATGAATCTACTGGCATAATGTTTCTTACAATTCCAAGGGATGAGTGGAAGAGCACTAGATAGTGAACTCCCCCTTGTGGTTTTCAGACAGTCGACATTTGTTTTATTTATTTTTTGTTTATATTTTCCTTTTTTTTTTTGGTTAATACTCATGTTTCTCTTTCTGATTTTTTTTTTGAATTGAAAACTGTTTGGAAATAAAGGCATTTATTATTATTATTATTATTATTATTAAATATGGAGCTAAAGCTGTTGGGAGGTAGCGGGTGTCGCTGTGATGTACTCATCGCAACTACCGTTGCTTGTCAAAAGAATAGAGACACGGCACAAATTGTATGGGTCTACTTGACCAACTCGATCTACCTAATTCATCTGTTATAAATAGTTAACATGCCCTTAGTTTTTCTGGAAGGGGCTAACTTGTCCCAAACATAATTTTTTCATGAATTGATGATAGCGTTGCGTTAGTGCAGAGTCAATCTGCTTAATGCCATTTTTCACCTTCGCGACTGCTTCGATATAAACAATGTTAGTAAAACTACTGAGGTATTTGTTACATTTCATTGGAATATAAGCTCATAGTGTTGAGAACTCTCGTATTGTTTGCACAGCTTAATTCAGGATCTTCAATTGAAAAGTTGCCCTGATAAACCTGAAAAGTGCTGATTTAAGCCATAAACGCGCAGATCTAAATATTTTGACATCGTCATGATACATGCGAGGCCCCGGGAGACTCATGCATTATCACGCAGATCGATCATAACGCACAAAAATGTTTTGAAAACACCTGTGTGATGATATACTGACCGAAAACCGATCAATCAAAGAGGTGTCAAAATATTAATTGTGAAAGAGCAAAGTGTAAAGAATGAAACACATTAGTTAACCTTGTTTGTGTATTCCCCAGAGACTCCATTATTTGGGTGACACGTTTATATTTTTTTTTGAATACTTTGTTCGGAAATTTGGAAACAAACAGGTTCCCAGAAGATACAGATTATAATTAGTTTTCGTGAACACTGATCTTGGAGAGCTTACAAAAAAGTGCAAGTTCATGGCTGTTGGTCGTGTCATGCTGACTGTGTTTTTAGGCACTAAGGAATTACGAACAGTGTTTTTTGCTTGAAATCAAGTAAAAGAGGTGTTTACCGAAACGATGTCTTGTTGCCTCATCTTCATTAATTAGGAAAAGCATATTTTACGTAGGATAGACGAGGGAAGGAGGGTTGGTTGTCACCGACCACTGAAAGTTGAACAGCGGGATGTGGTAGCTGCATTCTTAAGCAACGCTGCTGAGAGTAAGTGATGGTCTTGCGACAGTT